TTTTGTGAAGGAATGGACTTTAGTTCTTCACTATGGAAACTGGAGTAGTTTTCAGCAAGTGTGAGGATATATATTATGGCTTTTTTCTTTCGGCTCTTTCAAAAAGTGGTATTTATAAGCTAAGCTAATAGAGATAGATATATATATATATATAGTTGAGGAGATAGTTGGAAAATGAGGAAACAATGGAGGGGTATAATGGGGAAAGTGAAAGTGGAAGACTTTGACTGGAGACGCGTGATGTTTTTTAGGAGAGAGGGAATTTTCTGAATCGATCAAACCAATGAAAGATATGCACTGGATTATCGTTGACTTTGGTGTCCCATTTTTGTAATAATGATAATTTATTTATACCCTTGAATCGTAATTGCTTTTAATTTGGGCTATTTAAGTCGCACGAAAATAATTTTCCGTGTGTGTTTGATTATGAATTTATTTTTCTATTTTATTTAAAAATAGTTTTTTTTTTCTTAAATGAACATTTTTTTCATTTTAAATATACATATTATTATTAAAAATATCATGTTGTACCAAATGATATAAAAGAAAGTATAACATTAAAAATATCTGTAACGGAGCCAACAGTTGATTCCTTAGCATTACACTAAGTAATATTTTTATTCATTTAAAAATATCATGTCTATTATTTAATTTTTTAATTTAATCATCATGTAATTAATGCAATCTGATTGGAATTGCACAGAAGAATGATGAGGTATGTATGGCAAATATAATTACTTACTGACGTAAGACTTATCAATGAACTGATTCATCTACATTAACAATGTTTGTGTCAAGACAAATTATTAGTAACATTGAAGAAATGCAATTAAAACACTAATCAAGTCCTTTTAACTTTTTTAACCAAATAGTTAGTAAAAAGTATAAAGAAACTGAACAAAAAGTTACTTTTCCCGGGACTTAGATTACTGGTTTGTCATTCAATGCTAGCATTGAAAAGTTCATTATATGATCTTTAAAACATGGACTGGTGAAGGTTCATCTCGTACGAAGCAAGCTATTTCTCCATAATTATACAATTAATTACTCATAAATTTTATAAGACGGCCTCACCAATAGACAGGTTGATTTGTCATACGTTTTCTAACAAGAATACATACTTATGTTATGAAATATTATACTTTTGTTCATGTTGTTTTTAGAATATGAAATTTCAACTTGAAAGTATGTATATTTGTTGAGAAAATATATTCGTCTCACTATCAAGTTTATCTCACAACAGATTTACTATGAATTATTTTAGTTATAATGTTCAAGTCATACATAAACATTTAGGAGTAAATATACATGAAAGGGCACAAACTAAAGAACAGGGTAATTTGAGAAAAATAAAAAAAAAAGTGAAAAAAAATCAAAAGGCCGAATTCTCGTAATCCGTTTTTCAAAAAAAATATTTTATTTGAAAAATAGATTTTTATAATCCGTTTTATTTTTTATTTTTTTATTTATATTTTATGTATTTTTTACCCCAGGTAGGTACAGTTACTATATTAAAAGAACAACCAACTATCGACCTAAAGAAAAATAAGGGTCGACGAAGTTGAGGCGAAGCGAAGCGAAAGCGCGAACGACGAGTGAACCTCAAGATCCTGCCACTTTAGCTTTCGGTTTGCTAGCTGACAAGAGAAGATCCACCCCGAGCTCTTCGTAATCCACATCCACGGAGCATAACCATAAAAAAGATGGAGTCAACGAGATTGTACTAATTCGACTTTAATTGGACTAATTCGAGTTCGATTACACTATAATTGACCGAGATTGTACTAATTCGACTTCAATTGGACTAGTTCGAATTCGATTACACTATAATTGACCGAGATTGTACTAATTCGACTTCAATTGGACTAATTCGAGGTCGATTACACTATAATTGACCGAGATTGTACTAATTCGACTTCAATTGGAATAATTCGAGTTCGATTACACTATAATTGACTGAGATTGTACTAATTCGACTTCAATTAGAATAATTCGAGGTCGATTACACTATAATTGACCGAGATTTGTACTAATTCGACTTCAGATGGACAAATTCGAGGTCGATTACACTATAATTGATCGAGATTGTACTAATTTGATCGAGATTGTACTAATTTGACTTCAATTGGAGTAATTCGAGTTCGATTATACTATAATTGACCAAGATTGTACTAATTTGACTTCAATTGGACTAATTCGAGGTCGATTACACTATAATTGACCGAGATTGTACTAATTTGACCGAGATTGTACTAATTTGACTTCAATTGGAGTAATTCGAGTTCGATTACACTATAATTGACCGAGATTGTACTAATTTGACTTCAATTGGACTAATTCGAGGTCGATTACACTATAATTGACCGAGATTGTACTAATTTGACCGAGATTGTACTAATTCGACTTTAATTGGACTAATTCGAGTTCGATTACACTATAATTGACCGAGATTGTACTAATTCGACTTCAATTGGACTAATTCGAATTCGATTACACTATAATTGACCGAGATTGTACTAATTCGACTTCAATTGGACAAATTCGAGGTGATTACACTATAATTGATCGAGATTGTACTAATTTAACCGAGATGGCGAGATTGTACTAATTTGACTTCAATTGGAGTAATTCGAGTTCGATTACACTATAATTGACCGAGATTGTACTAATTTGACTTCAATTGGCCTAATTTGAGTTCGATTACACTATAATTGACCTAGATTGTACTAATTTGACTTCAATTGGACCAATTCGAGGTCGATTACACTATAATTGACCGAAATTGTACTAATTTGACCGAGATTGTACTAATTCGACTTTAATTGGACTAATTCGAGTTCGATTACACTATAATTGATCGAGATTGTACTAATTCGACTTCAATTGGACTAATTCGAATTCGATTACACTATAATTGACGAGATTGTACTAATTTGACCGAGATTGTACTAATTCGAGGTCGATTACACTATAATTGATCGAGATTGTACTAATTTGACCGAGATGGCGAGATTGTACTAATTTGACTTCAATTGGAGTAATTCGAGTTCGATTACACTATAATTGACCGAGATTGTACTAATTTGACTTCAATTGGACTAATTCGAGGTCGATTACACTATAATTGACCGAAATTGTACTAATTTGACCGAGATTGTACTAATTCGACTTTAATTGGACAAATTCGAGGTCGATTACACTATAATTGATCGAGATTGTACTAATTTAACCGAGATGGCGAGATTGTACTAATTTGACTTCAATTGGAGTAATTCGAG